TGTAGCGAATTCCCGACAGCCATTAATTTTTTCTTCGTTTTTTTTTCTGTTGAAATTACCAAAAATGAAATTATTCAAAGAATGAAATTTTTTCCATTTGAATGAAAGAAAGAGATTATAATGCAGAAAATAATTTCTTCCATAATATTAGCTAATTTCATTGATCGAATCAATTTTTCTAAAAAATTTAAATTGATAATAATTTTATATTAATAATTATCATTGATCCATTTTGATATCAGCAGAATGATTTTGATAACGCATATGAATTTGAACTAATAATAGTGTCTTGTTTTGAACGTTAAATATATGCGGATTAATTTTGCATTATGAAAGATGTGATATATATCGATGATTAAATGATAGTAACTGAATTGTAGTGTCAAAATGAGAAATCGAAAAATTCCTTAAATACCGGATGATAAGTGATTAATTTGCAGAATGTGATATCATATAAAATACATAGAGTTTAGCTGAAATGAATAATAAGAATCTAATCTATTACTATCATTATACTCATAATCTTATCTATTACATCCATTATTTTACTAAGAATTTATTCTATAATGATCGTAATAGATTAGATGATAATATAAAGATGGTAATAGATTAGATAATAAGTATAATGACAGCAATAGATTAAAATAATAAGTATAATGATTGTAATAGATTTGATGATAAGTATAATGGTGAGATAATAAATATAATGATAATAATAGATTAGATGTTAAATATAGTGATTAGATGATAATATTATCATTATACTTATTTATCTAATCATTTTACTTATCATCTATTATAAAAAATATTATAAAATTTTGATTTAACTTATTTCCTATTGCAAATTTAAAATTTCCCATTATACATACAATTTCATACGTAAAATTTTTATAAAATGATGGAATAAATAATATTTAAAAAATAATAATACATCAAAATTTTCTTCTTTTCATTACTTATTAATTAATTAATTAAATGAATGAAAAAGAAAATTTATTTTATAAACAAAATGAAAAGCGAAATTTTTTGCTTTTTCATTTAAATCAATAAAATGAATTTTTGATTTTTGAAAAAGAAGAAAAAAGTGATGAATAGCCTAAAATTTTTAGCAAATAGCATAACTGTTCTTCACTATCTTTTCCCTTTTTTTTCTTTCTTTTCTTCAAATATTAACCTTTGAAAAGTGCCATCTACCAATTCTCTTTTTCTTTTTCTCCATTCAAATAAATACAATTTTGCAAACTTTTTTTCTCTATATAATAACTATATATATATATATATTGTTAAGATTATTCCTTTTTTTCATTGGTTTAGCATTTTATTAGCATAAATTGAGCATCTTTTCCTTCACATTATTAAATTATTTGTTAGCAACAAAATGAATTCATTTTTGCAATTTTTTTTCTCTCTCTCTTTCTCTTCATTTCTCTCTCTCGCTCTTCATTTATCTCTCTATTCATTTCTCTTTCCTTTTCATTTTAATATGAAATTATTGGTGATTTTAATAATTTGAATAATATCAATCAGTATTACTATATTTATCATTCATTTTTAACTTTCGCATCACAATCATTTTAATTTCAAAATAGGATAATGTTATTATACTCTTATCAAAATAATTTTTTTCTTTTACTGTCATTATTATAATTATCATATTATTATCATGATCGGTATTAATCATGAATTATTACAGTTAATCATTACTTTTTTTTGAGATTTCTTCTGTCACAATTATATATTAGTGTATGTTTTATCACTAATAAATTAGTTGTTGACATTAATGAAATGATCAGTAGATATTTTAACGTAATCATTATCGTTAAATAAATAACTGCTTACACAGATATCACGTCTGAATCACGTACACAGATATCACGTCTGAATTACATATACAATATCACATTTGAATCACGTATACAATGTCAAGTCTGAATCACATATACAATATCACTCTGAATCACATACACAGATATCACGTCTGAATCATGTATACAATATCACGTCTGAATCACGTATACAATGTCACGTCTCAATTACGTATACAATGTCACGTCTGAATTACATATACAATATCACATTTGAATCACGTATACAATGTCAAGTCTGAATCACATATACAATATCACGTCTGAATCACGTACACAGATATCACGTCTGAATCACGTATACAATATCACGTCTGAATTACGCATGAATGGACATATATATGTTACTAACAATTTATAATTACCTATTTTGTATTTTTCTTCATTTCATTTTTAACAAATTTAAAAAAAGAATCATTCATTCATTCCTCTATACTACTTCATCAAATATATATAAATTATTTTCTTGTTTTTAAACGCATATTGACCAAAGTAATGAAGAGATAAACCATAGAAAGAGTATTAGACAGATGGACATTTATAATTCAAATAAACAATTTCTCTTATCAAACAAATAATAGCAATAGCTTAGGCTTCAATTTTCATCAAATACATTCTCTCTATCATAAAATAAAATTGATATAAGCTATATATTATTTTTTATGGGCGCTGATTTATAGCGCAATTCACTTAGAATCTCATTGTATAAGAATTGATAAGATAATTCTTTTTTGTTTTGAGCAAAATGGAATAATTAGAATTAAATAATTTGGCCTATTAATAAATCTATAGTGATTATCACAAATTATCTGATGAATATATCAACTCTTCTCATTCCTTAACTTCTTTGTTCAGAAGCACAAAAAGAGTGATTTCTGATATGATAAAAGAAGATAAGAGAAAGAAAAAATATATACATATTATGATACCCCTTCTTACATGTCCTAAAATGCTAATATTTGTCCTTTCCCTTTATCGCTTTATAAGATCCGTAATTTTAGATTTAGATATTAAGTATGCGCTATTCGCTATAAGCAATTGACTGATGTAACAGCTATGGATATGTGTGTGTCTGTGTGTGTGTGTGTGTGTGTGTGTGTGTGTGTGTGTGTGTGTAAGGTTCTTTTCCACTTTATTATAATAGGACAACTTTATCCGCAAAACATTTCATTCACTACCTCTCACATAAGAATATTAAATCGAATATAATTATATTTCAATCCTTCCATTTATCACCATCACTTCTCTTCCTTATCACTCCCTGATAAATATAATTTATCACTAAAATTGAACATTACGAATAAAATTCAACGCTAACATATTTAAGATATAGTGTAATAAGTTATCTTTTATGTAATCAAATTATTATACTAATTAGTATATAATGATAAAGCACTCAATATCATCATCTGTCACATCAATGCTATTTATCAACGATAGACATACACATACATGATAGCAGTATGACAAATGAATAGTTTATGTCGGACATACACACATACATTCGTGCTAAATAATGATAGATATACATACACCCACAAACAGACACACACATACATGGATGTAAACATAGCGAAAAGCGAAGTGAAAGAAGCAATGGCATGACTGATAGACGAATGACTTTGGGCGTACGCTATCGATATATACACATACACACACACACACACACATACATACATACATACATACATACACAAACATACAGCACTTTTGCTGCTTGCCATTGCTGTTAATGAATGTGTGTATGTATGTATACGTGGGTGAAGAAAGCTATGTGTATATTGGTAAGAGTGTGGATATGATAAGTTGATAAAAGTGTTAGTGTCCCTTATGCAATTTCATTTTGTACATATAACTTGTATCATTATCATTGGATGATAATAACTAACTCTCTTTAGTTTATTTGATTGAAGAAGAATTCACTCCTATAAACTAATGGTCCATTTTTCATTTCATATTGATTTCCAAATTTCTCAATTGACAGAAAGTTTAATTTGGTTTTCGTTTTTTTGCTTCTCTTCTCATTGAATGAATTTTTGATTGAATGAATAAACAACTCTCTAAAATAAGCTCTTCCATTATGAACAAACTTTCTTTTGTTTTTCACTTGATAATTCCTGAAATAAAAATCCCTGAATGTTTGTTGTAATTATTATCAACCATACATTAATAATTGATAAAGTTAATAATAATAATAAACGATAGCAATCAATAATTATCATTAAGATATATTGTTAGAGTTGTTAGTAACACTAATTAGGCTTTCTAATAGTAATCAAATGTTAACCTTTCCCCAAGTGATTTCAATGCCTATTTTTATTTATTTATTTATATTTGTCTTGCATTAGGTCTTCTAACAGCAATCAAGTGTTGACCCCCCCCTCCTCTAAGAGTAGAGAAAGTGATTTCAATACTATTTTTATTTGTTTATTTGTTTATTTATATTTAGCCTTGTAATAGCAAGAAGAGCATTTTCACTTCGAACTTCCTTACTTTTCCATTTTCATCAAATATTTCTCTATGCTTTCAATGTTTGTGATTGAAATGATAAAAGGCATTGATGAAATTTATTATGTAATTTTCAGGCTGCTATTGTATTCTATTTGCTACATTGAAGGAAGGAAGAGAGAGAGAGAGAGGGAGAGAAAGGAAAGAGATTTCAATACTATTGTTATTGTCTATTATTATTATTTAGTATTATCAGTATTATTATTATTTATATTTTGTTGTTATGTTTAACAGTTACATTTATCGCTATCACTATAACTTTGATGGCTTCACATACGAAATCATTATTGATCATTCTATCGTTTACATCGCTACGAAAATTCAACCGATTATTACTACTCTTTCTGCCAACCTAATGACAATAGCTATTGCCTTTTAAAAAAAAAGAGAAGAGCTTTAATAATTGCTGGGAATTAATGATTTTTTGATGAAAATTGAATTAATCATTCGCTGTCAATTGTTATCGCTGCTTGATCAAATGGCTAAAATAGTTATCATCGTTGCTGTATGACTAACTAAAAATACGCTACCTTTATTATCATCATTATTACCACCATTATCATCATCCATCATCATCGCTATCAATATTATCATCACTTTTATTGATAACTAATCGAATGTTCGAAAATGGTAGATGTTGGCCTATCATTGCAAACGTCATTAATGACAACTGTTATTGTTGTCATAGCGATCACCGTATTGCGCTGTCATTTTGATTACTTTCATAAGAAAAAGCAATTTGCTACCATTTTCTTGTTTATAACAATCACTTTATTTGGTGATTTTATACGAACAACATTTGGTCAAGTTGATGCTGCCACTCATAAGACTGGTCGTTCAACGGTAAACGGTCATCAATTACCCTTTAATGTTCTCGTTGTATTACCAGAAAGTGAATCAAGCAACGATAATTTTGGGATTACAATGCCAAAAGCACGTCCAGTAATTGATATCAGTGTAATGGATGCAATCCAAACAGGAAAGATAGGCGCAGATTTCTTGAATTTCACATATCATGATTCGAAATTGTCGGAAAATGCAAACTTAGCTGAACGTTTCGCAACTCTTGGTGTTGTGACAGCTTATTGTTCGCATCGTTTAGATGCAATTCTTGGATTTGCGGATAGCTATAGTTTAGCAACTACATCAAAGATTACCGCTGCTTTTGGACAGGGTATACCAGTAATCACAACTGCTGGAATGGTATCAATTCTTGACGATCGACAAACATATCCATTTCTCACTCGAATACAAGGTAGCTATCGACAAATGGCCGATAGTATGTACAAGTTGATTGCATATCGAGAAGAATTTGAAAAAGGGTCATCAACAGAAAAAGAAAAGAATTACAGAAGATCTACTACTAGCTCCGGATTGCAAAGCAACTCACGTGATCGTTTAGCGGTTCAGGAATCACACTTATCGTTGGGTTATCAGAATTTGGTTCTTATGTATCATGACAAACGTCGAGCTATTAATCGACCAAGATTAGCAAATGGTGAAGTAATGGTTGTGGAAAGTGTTTCCAGTCACTGTTATTTTACGCTCTATGCTATCAAAAATTTTTTCACCGAGAAAAGTGCTTATTTCAAGGAAGCCTGGAAAATTCAAACTCCATCGTTGGCATTCGATGAAGAAATTGCACGAATTCCCGGTGAAATTGAAAGTTGGCTAAAGATTGTTTCCGAACTTGCTAATGGTGCGTTTTCTCGTTCTTTACTCATACATTATATATTGATTAACTTAAATTTGATTAGCTTAAAAGAGATAAATCGTTATATCATATAGTTTTCCGCGTATCATGTCATTTGAGAAGTTGTAATTCGATTTCAAATGGTACTTCAAAATAATCCTGCTTTACTGATTCCGGAAAATTTGGAATTGAAATTTTTTAATAAAGATTTTTGACAGTAATTCATTCTTGTTTTTCTTTTTTGTCTTGAATTTTATATTATTCCTCTTCTCTGAAATAATCCATTACAGTGAATTTTTTCTTTGAGAAAAATTTGTTTTTGCCTTTCTCTGATAATTTCTTAACATTTTATCTGGAACTAATTAATGAAATATGAAATATATTTATCAGTTTATCATTTTGAGCTAATATCGGAAATCAATTTCAACTTTCTCTTTCATTTCCGATAAAATTCAATGTTTAAACATTTTATGTTATAAAAACAAAAAGTTATTTTCATGTATGCTTTAGAAAGGATCTCTCTTAGGTTTATTAAATTTCATTCGTAAAATGATTCCATCAAATTTATTGCCACCACCAACTGCTGCTAAATAAAGAAAATATGGACTATCAATTTTTCGTTTTATTTTTTGCAGCTTCAATATCCTTAATTAATTAAAAATCTCAACTTTATACTATATTATTACTTCGATGGAACTATCTAATTATGTAAAAACAAAACTCTGATCTATCTCAAAGTTTTATGATTTCAAAATTTTTCACATGTTACATTAAATTTAATTAGTAAAGAAATTTTCAATATTATATTAAATATTTTGCATAGGAAAAAAAAATTATCGATCCTGAACAAAATTAGAAGCAGACAGTACTTTAATATTAAATTATTGATTAATTTTTGCTAATTTAAACTAGCATAAATAATATTTGAAAATATCAGGAAATTTGCATAATGATTTTCACTGTACTACCAGCATAAAAGCCGTAATACTCTTATGGAACGTATCAAATTTATCGATAGCTGAAATAAAAATGTTCCATTGGTCTAAATTCAATTATTATAATTTAGTTTTATAGTAAAAGTTTGAAATTAATTATTCATTGCTAACTATATATTTGGAATTTTCTTCTTCTAGGATATGATATAATGTAACTTGAAGTTTTGGAAAAGACATTTTGTTTCGCAATAATTTGAAATTTCTTACTATTGATTTATTTTTTTTTATCAAATTCTTTTCAAATAAATAAAAGTTAAATTCCTCAGAATAAATCAAAGGCAAAAAGAATTTTCTGATTATTTGTTGCAATTATTTCCCGTAAAAGAGGTTATTGTTAGATATCGGATTGAAGCAAATTTCTTTACTTAACTTATTGTATCAAACACAATTCTATTTAATTTTAAAACTTTATTTTATCAATATTTTTTCCTAATTTATATTTCAAAAATATAACATAGTGAAATATAGAAGAATAATATGATAATAACAAAAATTTAGAATTGACATCAAAAATAAATAAAATTAAATTCTTAGTTTCATTATTGATTTTTGTAATATTTTTCACAATTAAATTTTCTCTTAGATTTAGAAAAAAAATTTTTTATAATTTTTAAATTTCTCTATTTTTCAATATCATCCAATTTTCAGTGATAATATTATGTGCTTCGCCAAATACTGTTCGAGAAGTTATGCTTGCTGCATATGATTTGGGTATGGCTACATCCGGTGAATATGTTTTTATCAACATTGATGTTTCCACTGGGTACTTTTCTCTTCCATTTCTTTTATAATTCTCTAATTAAATAAAAATGATAAATTACTTGATGGAAAGTTTTATCAAATTTTTTTCTACAACAATTACTATTTGTAGATCGCATGCGGAACGGCCATGGATACGATCAAACGATACAACATCACAGGAAAATGAGAAAGCAAAAAAAGCATATCAGGCGCTAAAAACAATTTCATTAAGGCGTGGTGATTTAGATGAATACAAGAATTTCGAATCACGTGTGAAAGAACGTGCTGAGAAAAAGTATAATTATTCTGCTAAAACGGGTAAAGAGTATGAGGTAAGGTTTATTTTTAATTATTCACTAATCAAGTTTGAATTAAATCGATCGATGCGGAATTTTTTTTATATATTTGAATTATATTATGTGACATGTATTGAAAGAGAATATCGATTATATTTTTTTGTTTGAATCGTTTTGAATTTATTTTTATAAATTTATCACTGAAGATAACATGCAACGTCATTAATGATAACATGCATTTTATAGATGAATAATTTTATCAGCGCATTTTATGATGCGCTTTTGCTTTATGCGATAGCATTAAATGAAACACTCAGTGAAGGTTTGAATCCACGTAATGGGCAAAATATAACAAGTAAAATGTGGAGTCGAACTTTTGTTGGTAAGTTTGGAATTTTTTTTCTAGCATGCTTTTTATACTTATTGCAAGTTTAGTTTGTGTGAATTTCAAGAGCTTATTATGGTTGTTAACATTTGTGCATGTTATGCAATAAATATGCAGCAATTCATTTTATGGAGAGTTCAGAAATTTCCTGTTCTTGCTTAAATTCATGAAATTTTGATAGTATCATTTAAGGGGATTGTTCATTTTAAAAATGCTGGAAATAAAAAAAAGCGTGCTGCTTTTGCACTTCTTATTTAAACTTATTTCACACGACTTTTCCTACAGTTTCCTGTTCAAGAAAATTAGTTCAACAACGGCCTTCTGCAGCTCTTCCTATCTCTTCTAGTCATCACTACATAAAGAGATGTAGCACGATAATAATTTTTAGTAGTTAATGAAAAAATCATCAATTTGTTTGCTAAAGATGAAGTCTTCTTGATTATGAAGTCTTCTTGATTATCCTTCACAGGAAAAAAGGGCCAAAAAACAAACAAATCTTTATTCATTTCAACGATTACTCGGTAATGCCTATTTGTACATGGCATCTTCAGAATAACTTCATTTTGATTTGAAGTGTTTTTGAAATATATTTTTGTAAAAATGTGTTTCAAATTAAGAAACGAATAGGTGACATTTAATAGTATGCATACCAATGTTAATAGATATATAGTGAAAATTTTATTTTCTACAATAACAGAAAATAATTCGTTAGATATTCTGTCTGCAAGTTCTTTTGTAATTACTATGTGGAAGATTTTCCACAATTCCCACTGTGAAATTTCTGCAGGATTGTTCAAGTTGCTAATTATTTTTGCTAGAATTATTTAATTATTCTTTGATTTTAGGCATTACGGGGAATGTATCAATAGATGAGAACGGTGATCGTTATTCAGATTATTCATTGCTCGATTTAGATCCACAGCAAGATAAATTTGTTGTTAGTTTTTTTTAATTCAAATTTCAAATCAAATTTCATGCTAATATAGCTACAATCGTCTATTTAATATCCTGACGAAAATTAATGCGAAGATAAAAGAAAAGAAAGCAATCTTCGTTTAGGAAGTGGCATATTATTCGGGTGCATCAAATGAATTAAAGCAAGTGGCAGAATTTCATTGGGTTGGTGGTAGTCCACCAAAAGATTCACCAATATGTGGTTGGAATCATTCAAAATGTCCCGAAGGTTATCCGTTTTATGTGTATCTGCTCAGTGGCTCCACTATTTTTATTTTGATACTCATGTCTGGTTTCATTTATTTCTGGAGGTTAGTCGATTTTTTGTCAATTTTTTCTTTAAATTTCACTTAGAACTTCACTCTGCGAATACTTCGACTATAAGACCTAAGATGATTGATATACAGCTAAGCATTTCATTCAATCCACGAAATTCATTTTGTTATTAAAGTACCGCTAATTAATTTGATATTTCTGGGAACTTAAAAAATTTTCTTGAATTCTGCTAATAATACAACAGACAATCATATGTATAAATAGATTAAATTAAAAGATGAAAATGTGTCATTTAACATTTAAGTACTTATCATTTATTATCATTGTTATATTATTTTACAACTTTATTATTTCTAACTTTTAGGCGATATCGATTAGAAGCTGAATTGGCTGCAATGTCATGGAAAATTCGCTGGGAAGACTTGGACGGTAATGAAATGAAGAAGGGTAAGAAGAAAAGTAGACGAATGCGACGATTACATGGTTTCAATTTTGAATCCGAAGCACTGCTCCGATCATGTAGCCGAGCATCAAACGGCAGCGAAAATGTTCGAATTTTTGCACTTTTTTTGAATTTCCGTAATTTTTATGTTGTTTTTCAAATTTTCGCGAAGTTTTGGCTTAACCATAAAAATCAACGTAATTTGAATTATATTTTAATTCGGAATTTCCGGAGTTCTTGATTTTTGCAGACTTCTAATAAAACCCATTATTTTTGGATGATGTATTCATATTAAAATACATTACTAGACAAAGCTGTCAAATAATGATAATTTAAGTGGAAAGGTTAAGAGGTTCAATAATTCAATCTTTTCCGATTTTCAAAAAAGCGGTAGATTGTAATAAGTAACTTAAATTGTAATGAAAAATTTTAACTTTGATGCATTGGCAAATGATGTATATTTAAGTTAATCTCTATTAATTCCTCATATATAATTTATATCAACGATTATTATATTACAATACGCCCTATTGATTGCCCTCATAGTCGTAGTGAAATTTGCATTTTTTACTGAATATTAGATATTGGAATTCTAGTCTAGATTTAATTCTGACCTTCAGGCTTACTTTATGCAAATTAATGAGGACTTTAAAAATTTGCTTGTTATAAAGCTTTACTAAAATATATGCACCGAAACACTGTAGTAGTGAAATGTTAAGAGAAGCTATTTTAATTTCTTATATCTCAAATTGATTGAATAATCATAAATGCAAAGCGGATGCTTAATTACGACTTCGATTCTATTAGTCTGCATAGAACTATAGCATTACTTAATAACATCTCTTCAATAGACAACAAACATTAATGACAATTCTAAATTTAATTCTAGTATAGCTCTATCACTTGCATTGCTGTAGTAGGATGGATATTTATTAGTTGCTTTAAATGATTCCTATCATGTTTCTTGAAGACTTATTGCAAAAAAGTTTGAGATAAAGTTAGATAATGAGGAAAAATATGAATGTTAGTTTAAATTAGCTACATTTAGAATTTTTTTCTTTAGATGCTCAATTGTCAAAATAATTATTCTTTTCTTTGAAAATTTAAATCGTTAAAAATTTCCATCAATTGCATTTCTGCAGTTAGATGAGGACGAACGAGAAATCACTATTGGCCGCTTTAGACTGGTATGTCAACTATCCATTAAATACTAAATTGTTTTCAAATTCACACTACTTCTTAGCTTATCCGTTTTCATCCGTGCTTTTCAAAATAATAACTAGTTTGATAATAAGACTAAGAATTGATTAGAATAATTGTGAATTCCTAATTATGCCAATCGACGTGCTTTTCATCACTCTTCAATTATTTGTATTCTGGTCTAGGATTTATCTTTTAAATTCTTCCTTGAATGAGCATATTATCCGAAGAGCTTTTGATTGGTTAACATCAAAAGTTAACAAAAATATTTCATGTAATGGTAGGAAAATTTTGTCATTATTTAGCTAATATGAGTGTAAACTCTTTTTGGACTAGAGATTTTGAAGCCATAAAATTAATATGGAATTAGATGGAAATTTATGAATTGATGCATGCTTTAATTAATTTTCAAACAGTAGTAAAGTGGCGTGCGAAGATCCTTTTAAGCACTTCTTAAATTCAATCACACTTCATTCCGATAATGCATGTTACACTTATTTCTTGAGCATTACTAAATTATCCATCTTTTGTTCTAGGCTAGAGGCTCAAGGATTCTTTTGGTTTAGTTGACTTTTTCTGGGTTTCAATTTTATGATAATATATATGTATGGAAGAATGAAGATTTAGAATCAGTAAGAATTTCTGAGCTTAATTTTACTCAAGATTTCATGTTTTCCTTTTGTTGATATCAAAATCTTAACTTTTGATCTTATACTGTCATAGACTGTAAAATGAATTTAATGTAGCCATGATCGGTCCACTTCTTTTGTAATAATATACCATAATAAATGTAATGCAGAAATTGATGTTGCTTTGCTCATATCACTTTCATATCATTAATAGCCAATAGAGGCCACTGTTAACAAATCATTTCAATCAATTAACAAATCTAACAAAAGCGCACATAACAAGCATGCATGCACCAACATCTAACAATAATAATGTAGGCCATAAGATCGAGATTTTCAGCCATATTTTACATACCTTTATCGTTCTTTATTAATCGATAATATTATTGATTTTGTGCTACAATTTAAAATTAAAAATTGAAGTTTATGTAGGAATTACAAAATTTGAATCATCATTATTGCAGAATCCGTTAAATTGTTCATTTGCAAATAGCCTTTGCATTAGGAATAAGCAAGTATTAACAAATTTATAGATGAAAGATTCATAAATTTTTTAATTTTATAGAGAAGCACCAGTTCCAATGCAACTCGTAAATTTTCGGCTTTGATCGATCGAAAGTTAAGTTTGTTTACTCGAAAGAAAAATTCAACTTCTCAGGATTCAACACATGTGGTTCAAAATCATATTAAAGTAAGAATAATTTATTTACCTTGTTTTTAAACTATACTAGATTATAAAAGGAACTTCTAGACATCCAATTTAGTCACACGATTTCTAAGAATGATTAGTTCGGAATGACTTGAATTGTAAATTGAATACCCGAACAATCTTAAAGATTGTAAAGAAATAAGAAGAATTTCTTAATTTAAAAGAATATCATCAAGAATATGTTGTCGTATTGTTAGGATTTTGAACAAAAAATGGATGGATTATCACGTTCGGCGCCGTATGCAACAATTAGCGAAGATGTCGAATCCAAAAATTATGATACAGAAAGCGGCCAGATACCATCACCGCTTTCTTTCATTTCTAATCCGAAACAAAAATCACCCAATGAAGATGTTTTCGATTTACATGCTAAGAAAAGTCTTTCGTTACGTAATCGGAAATTATCATTTACTGGATTTAGCATTGGGGTAATTTCTTGTTTTTTTTCTCTCTCTATTTTAACAAATAAATTTCGACAAAACAGTGTAATTGTTTTGTGTAATTGTTTACACATGTCATTTCAAATAAACTTCAAATTAAATGTTTACGTTTCCATGGAATTTTTGTTTAAGAAATATGAATCAGAGAATTTTTTTCAGAGTGGAGGCTCAGTAGAAACAATACAGATGCAAAATAATGCACAAATATATACGAAAACTGCTAATTATAAGGTTAGTTCGGCTATTTTGTGTAAGTCTTTATATATTTAAAGCTTTGGTTTCTAAATTTAGGTATTAATATAACTCGATTTCTAGGATTCACTTTATTAAAATTCGAAACTTTTCAAATTTCCACTACACACTGGAGATTTTTTATTCTCTAACATTCTTTATCTTTTGTTTTTAGGGTACAATAGTTGCAATTAAGAACTTAAATATCGATCCAAAGAAGTATCCGAAGCTTGATTTGACCCGTTCTATGTTAATGGAATTTAAGCGGATTAAGGATCTGCAGCATGATCATATTACTAGGTACATTTCCTTTGCAACAAGTCTAATTGGAGTGTTTTCAATGCAGTAAGTCTAATTGAGTCTTTGAGACTATTTGACTTAAATTCAAATTTTTTTCTGCTTAGCCAGGGAAATTGTTTCTTCATTTATTGTGCATAGATGTTATTGTGTTACTCAAAGCATGAAAATTTTTGTTTGATTTGAATTCATGAAAACTTTTCAGATTTGCTGGAGCCTGTGTTGACTGTCCACATTATTGTCTGGTGCAGGAGTATTGTCCCAAAGGGTCTCTAGAAGATATTTTAGAAAACGAAAAAATTGAACTAGACAAAATGATGAAGTATTCGTTGTTACATGACTTAGTTAAGGTTAGACTTCTCTTCACTTTCATTCTTGAAAATTGTTGTTATTGATAGTTTATTCAAGGATAACAGAATGGTATAAAAATGACAAGTTATCAACAAAACCACTATAAACAGTAAAGATACAAATCGTACTTCATATAAGCTAATTAATTCGTATCACATTTGTATGATATATTACGATTCAGTTGAAACTTAAGATTTGCCATTTTAATATCAATAAAATAAGCAAAGAATTGTTTAAAGGGTATGTATTTTTTGCACAATACATTTGTTGGTTCACATGGTAAATTGAAATCATCAAATTGTGTTGTGGATAGTCGATTTGTACTCAAAGTTACTGATTTTGGTTTTCACGAATTGCATGCTATGGAAGATGAAAGTCCCGAAGAGATAGGCGAGCATGCCTTTTACAAAAGTAAAATTCTTATTCTACTTTCTATTTTTTTAAATATACATTATAATTGTTATCATGCTTAACAGTATTTTAAAGTTTATATCTTTAATTTTTAGAGAAATTATGGACAGCACCAGAAATACTACGTAATCCGAATGCATATCGACAGAATGGTACAAAGGCGGGTGATGTATATAGTTTTGCCATAATATTGCATGAAATGTTGTTTCGAAAAGGTGCCTTCTATATGACTGATGAATTCGCACCCAAAGGTACGGTTGATATTTAAATATCGATATCGAAATTTATTATGATTTTATAAGCTTATTGATCTACGTGGTGCGGGGAAAAACCGAAATGATTAGTTAACATTTGTATTTTGATTATTATTTATCTTTTGTTGTTTCAAGTTAATTGCACCACATAATCTTTTGTTCTACAAAATTACATCAAAAATTGAAATCAGACTATGTTATAGAAATCTATGAACGTGTGCAAAGAGTACCAGCGTTTGATGAGGAGTTGTGTAGGCCGGAAATACCTGAAAGTGCCTTAGTCGATGGACAAATTGAGCCGAATTTGATTAATTTGATGATTAGTTGCTGGGCTGAAGAATCTCAAGAACGTCCCGATTTTGCTGTTATCCGAAAAGTAGTTCGCTCATTAAATAAGTTAGTCTTTTTCTTGTAATTTTCATTTAAAATAACATGGGATCTGTGAGTTTGTCAGAAAGTTCTCTAACATTTTTCTTACGATTACATAACCACTACACAGGATACTTTATTGAGTGATCAACGACTGCAAGAAAACTGAACGATTGTTGTTATGTCGGAGATTCAACTTTTGAAGTTTTTAAGATTTCTGAATATCAAAAATACTGACAACAATCAGAGTTTATAATTTTTTTGAATTTAGAAGTAATGAGACATCTAATGTGGTTGATAATTTATTGAAACGTATGGAACAGTATGCGAATAATCTGGAAGGTTTGGTGGAAGAACGAACACAAGAATATCTTGCCGAAAAGCAAAAAGTTGAAGATCTGTTGCATCAGCTGTTGCCCCGTAGTGTTGCGGATCAGGTAAATGATTTGTTTTATTGTTTTTGCGAAGATTAACTGCTTAAACCATTGATATTATTTTATTGTTACTTGAATTTTATCTATGTCGAAATATAAAAAGAAATTTTTGCCAAATTGCAGTTAATAAGTGGATGCGCTGTGCAAGCGGAAGCATTCGAAAGTGTCACTATCTACTTTTCCGATATTGTTGGATTTACAGCACTGTCATCAATGTCAACACCAATGCAGGTAGGTGAGACAACTTTTAAATTATAAATTTTTAATGTAAAATTATGAAAATTATGAAAAAAAAAATTGTAAGCTATACGGTTTTGGTAACAGAAATGTCGTCATATATAATTTCATGGTTGTTATAGCGGTATTGATATGGGTTATACAAAATTAGAGTGAACACACGCTGAAGAAATATAGCAAGTTGGGAAATGAAATGAATTCTTCATTGTTAACATAAAATGTATTGAAAGAGATGATTTGTCATCTAGGATCGAGAAAGTAGCTGAGTGAATCTGTGCATGATTTCTTTCGCATAATTCTGCATAATTGTGATAGTTTTAATTAAGATTAACTAGGCATGGTTTCTTGCAAAAGAAGCTATGTTTTTCCTAAATTCCTTGACAGATTTGTTTATTTCAGGTAGTGACATTATTGAACGATTTATACATGGCATTCGACGGTGTTGTGGACAATTTTAAAGTATATAAGGTGGAGACGATCGGAGATGCATATATGGTAGTATCTGGTCTACCTGAACGGCACAATCACCACGCTTCACAAATTGCTCAGATGTCATTGGCGCTCTTGCATAAAGTGAAAAATTTCGTGATCAGGCATCGGCCCAATGAACAACTGAAACTACGTATCGGAATTCATTCTGGTTTCTTTTCAGACTTCTTATTTAAAAACTCTTAAATTGTGCATAATTAGATGGATATTTTGTAATGGTGGAAAAATGGCATCAATTCGGTAATGCTAAAGCTGGGCAAAGCATTGTCAAGAAATGTAACTCAAGTAAGGAAAAACACCGATGCTAGATAATTCACTTAGGATCATTGACTAATCGATGTTTCGGCCCCTTATCGGGGCTTATCTCGTAGATTTTTCTAGAAAATTTATATACGCCCCCATCCACCAGGTATATGTCCAAGTCTTGAGTGTTAACTTTAAACTTTTTAAAATTTTAACTTTTCAATTTTCATCATGAAAGGACAAAGGTATAAAATTCTTCAAGGTCTTTTAATGAAGATCTTTTACGCTTTTTTTTTCAAGGACCGGTAGTTGCTGGAGTAGTGGGTTGTAAAATGCCACGATATTGTTTATTTGGTGATACAGTAAATACGAGTAGTCGAATGGAAAGTACCGGTCTGCGTAAGTTTTTTGCTTCTCAATCCATACCACGAAATTTAAACCCAGAAATTATCGTAATATTTTTCAAAATTATTTATGTGTAAATTTTGTTCATAATTTAAATATATTTGCGAAAAGTTCTCGTTTGCTTCTAAATTTTTAAATCAATTTTTTATTTGTTGAACAAAAAGAAAAAGTTTGTAGCACTTCGGATTCACGTGAGTAGTCAGACAAAAGCTATCCTGGATAAGGAAGATCCAGGATTCAATTTGGTGCTTCGCGGTGAAGTGGAAATGAAGGGTAAAGGAAAGCAGATAACTTACTGGCTAAAAGGTTACAATGACATTCGTATTCCTGATTTTGGACCAGAATTTGAATAGTTCTCAGTTGCTATTTTTTTCGTCAAAGAGGCCATAATTTCTTTCTTCTTACATTCAGTTTCAAACTCTAATATTCAACTTTATGCAATGTCTATATTGGCAATTGATTCGGTTTTTTTTTCCCAAATTTTAAAATTCAAATAATTTCATGTGACCCACTCGGGTTCTATAACTTTTCTACTAAATACGTGTCTCCATGGGTGCAGTAAAATTTATACGCCATTCTAATATTAAGTGTAAAATTAGATCTAATACTCTAAATTCGTTTTAACAAAAGATAACTGATGCCTTTAATGATATTAAAAATTTCAAATAATTAATGGATCGATACCTCTACTCTATAACTTGTTGTTTTATATGGAAGTCGAAAAGAATATTCAGCATATTAGTGCATTGTTTTAATACTTGCACTTTATAATAACTTTTTTTAAGTGGCGCCTCATAATACGGGTTTAGTTTTTTTTCTTTCCTTTCCTAGTTTCCTTTTTCCATATATCGATTTAAATTTGAATTTTACCTTTTATTTCTGTGAAACATTTAGAGAATTACGAAGCAACCACTTTTATCAAACTCTGTATGTCTGATAATATTACTGGTTTGCTTTATTAAGCTTAATTTACATATGCATAAACTAAAATTGTGCTAAAATTTACCAAATTCAAATTTCTCAAAGAAATTGAAATTTTGTAAAAAAAAATTGAAATAGTTAAAAGAGTTGTTTTTTTCTCTATTAAATAATGCCAGTAATATAAGTGATGTTACAATCATTAAAATTTCGAGAATCGAACTTATCATTTATCACTCATTGTACATTGCCCATGATTTCTAGTTCAGTTTTATTCATTCGTAATAATCAAAGCAACCGCTGTATCAGTTAGACCGGTTGTATAAGGAATCTCTCCTATTACTGCGCTATTAAGACAGATGTAAATGTGTTCTTTTTTGATGATTAAACCACTAAAATTTGAAATTTCGTAAAAATTTAAAATTTCAATTTTAATCCAATTTTGTATTTACAATATTGAAAACGAAGATGTAATCTCAATAACAAAAATGAGATATCTTCGCATTTCTCAGGCATTTAACCTATGGATTAATTGACACAAGCTTTAAGCTTTAAGCTATGCGCAAATTGGCTTAAAATTTAAAAAATTTATATCAATTGTTAAGGCCATGTAATCAATCCCATTTAATATACTATGACCTTTGATCCATTTTTAACGTAACGCAGGATAATTGTATGATTATAACTCTCAATCTCCAGCCGAATTCATCTTATTGATCACTTTCTATATAATAAAATTATATAATAAAATTTTCATTGTGCTTTTTAAGCTCGATTTTAATTTCTTTTCTTTAGGAGAATTTATCTTTCTTTTAATCTCCTTCTAAGGTTGAAAAATGAATTGATGTATTTGTTTATGTTATTATTTTGTTTATCTTTGTTGTTTTATATTTTTGGAAAAAAAGAAATCTACTAATCATAAAATGGATAATTTACAAAGTATGAAAATTTGTTATGGAAGGTCGTTGTTAAAAGGATAAAAAACTTTGGCAGAAATTTCAATAAATTGTTAGCATATCGGCTTTATACGGATAGTATGAAGAAAAACAAAAATGATCGGTTGAAAATTCCATCCTTCCTCTACATCATACCTATTCATTGTTGTTGATTTCTGGAAGTACTCAAGATTTAAAAATTACAAATTTTTAATCAGATGGTGTAGTACACACCACTGGAGTACTTAGATGAATTATCGAATTCGTTAAGTTTTTCACATACGAATGAACACGATAACATTTGGTCATTCACTTATAAATCAATAAAGGAATTATTGATTGCAATCATAATCTGAAATATCAGGGTTTATGGATTTCTCAGAAATTTACCAAATGAAAATTATCGGTAGACTATACGCGTACCGTTATATTCTTTGAGAGTTTCAGCACAGATGCATAGTATTGGAGTGTAATGAGAATAACTTCAGTGGGAAAAAAATGTTATTCTAATAAAATTAAAAAATAGAACTAACATTTAAGATGAAAATTATACATCGGCTGATTGCTTATCAGTTGAATTTTGATAAAGTACAATGACAAAAAGAATTTAATCAATGGTTACAATTAAACTTATTGGTTTGATGAGTGGTGCCCTATTTGTGCCTAGAAATAAGTTCCATTCATGATAAATAACTTTCCTACTTAAATGAAGTTAAGAGTATGAAATCCTTCAGTGTAATCTGCAGCTTGATTTATTCCCACTCGATTGTTTTTTAACAGTTTAAGAATGAAACACACTTTTATCGCACTGATAATCAACTATTAATCATTAATGATAGAGTCATATGAAATATTTATTCAGATCTTTCAATAAAAAAAAGTCGGAAAAACATAATAAATAAAAAGAAACTATGGCAATTAACTACAAAGAAAAATTATGTACAAACTGATGATTTACAAATATAATGAATTTGACGAATTCCAAAGATAAAATGACTGATGTTATTCTTTCATAAGTGAAACTTAATTTGCTAGCCCTATTTAAAGTGTTGAATTTCAAATATAGACAAAATTCTTCCCAAGAAAACCCGGGAATATTTCAGAACTATAAGAAAGGTTTATATTCATAATTTATCCCCATAATTTCTCAAGTCACAATTCTTGATAGTGAATTGAATTTTCTATTGATTACTCATTCTGCTTTTCATTTCTGAGGAAATGAAAACTGCAAGTTATACTCACTTGCAGAACTTTATCGAAATTTCACGGCATTGCTGTTATGTGTATCTAAGCACAACCGTGATAATGAAATTTATGAATGATAAGAAAAATAGCTGAAATGAAAATTAAAATTTAATGCCTAGACGATCATCTATTCAGAAAATTCCTGAGATAAAAAAGTATGAAGTTCATTTGAAGTGAATGTTCTCATTTATGCTACATTGAATATCAACAAGCGAAATGTGCTAAGCTAAACTAATCAGCTATTCTTAAATTTCTTTTAAAAGTTTTTCTTTAATTTCAATTTAAATGCCTAATAGGATTGTCAACATACCGAAGGCAATCAGCACCAGAGCATGAAGAAAATTTTTTCATTGATGAAATTGAGCATCAAAACACATTGTAATGTATTTATCTTTACTTTCCCTAAAGTCTGTCGTTCCATATCGCAGAATGTTATTAATTATTAATGAGAAGTATGATGACTTGAATGCCGTCTTCTGAAAATATAATGAGGTGAAAACATAAATTTCATGTGAAGCGATTAAGAATAAAAGGAAGAACTACTCATTTACTTCCTTCTTTTCTCTCACACTTATTAATGTACAACAAACTTTTCCAAACACAAACTTCTCCATAATATTTCAACAATAATAGAATAATACTGTTACGAAGGGCAGAAAACTACAATTAAAAACTTTGAATAGGCACAAAAAATAGGTGAATTCAAAGGAACTGGTACTTGATAAATAATAGATATGTATCAAATAAAATTCCAGCACGAAAGTAAGAAAAACGAGATTCATTGCATAAAAAGGCTCGGTCAAATATCAGGATTCCTAATTACACTTTATGCAAAATTCAGCAGAGTTTAGTTTAAATTAAATTTTAGAAAAGTCAAACCACAGACTAACTTACAGTGAGTGACCAGAAAAGACTGTTGGAACCAATGAATCGTCCAATGATATATCGCTGCACTGCATTATTTATGGCATTTAAAAACTTGGGAGCAAAATAAAGCGTTATTGATATGTCATTTACTCCATCCAGCGGAAACTTGCACCATTTCTAGAAAAATTCTATAATTTGAGAAAAATTCTATAAAAATTCTATAAAAGCCTATAATTTGCGCTACTTCAGATTTTGTAGGATGGTTGTCAAGAACGGAATTTGGATATTTCAAATTCAAGATGGATAGGCTTTGAAATACAGAAGCAGTCGTCTTCAATACTGAAAGATTTCGACATTAGCATACCCTAATCTATCCAGGATTTACTTTGATGGTTGAACATGAGTTCTCTGGTTTTCAGAGACTACTTTCCGAATAAGCAAGATAAGAGATGTGGTGGATTATTTAAATAAATTACATAAAACCGTTAAACAATATGCATTTCAAGATGATAAAAAACTAATAGTTCTAGACATGTTCATGTTCAACTTCATTTTCAATCCAGAAGAAATACAATTGACTAATTCTGTTAACTTCTTTACTCGATCTTCAAATTTTAATGTTGCTTTCAAAGACATACGAACTACAGCTTTTGTGTTAAGAGCTGAAAAAGGAATTGTAAATTTCTAGAAGTCAGGGAGTAAATGGCGAAAAAGATTAAGACAGCTTTTAAACTAATAAAAAGTAAAAGATTTCACCTCTTTGACTTTACAATGTTGTTCATAACCAACCAGGAATGTAGAAGCACGGCGCCTGGATTGTAAGGAAAAATGGTATCCATTAAAAGATACTTTTTTTTAACTTGAAACCTAAATATTACTTGAAATAAAATTTAATCTATAAATCTTCATGCCTATACCCAACTTTTGATACAGATCCTATCATTCAATCTTACAGCGGTCAATTTCATCAATATGCAGCAGGAGTTCTCTGGAATATATCCCGTAACCTTTTTATACTTATCTAACTTTCCCTTAACCTCTTCTCCCTTAAAAAAATAAGAGCTTCAGAAGAAGAAATTAGAAAAGAGAAAGAAGTAAGCCACTTGCACAGGAAAATAAAACAATTTCGATTTATTTTCAAACAACTAATAAAATTTAAAACTTCCATCTCAACCACATTTGCATTGATTTGTTAACAAAATTCACATCAACTACACTTTACAGTTAATCCAATTAACCATCAGAAAAACTCCGAAGATCCCATACCTATTTGAGGAAGATGCACGAGAAACAACAAACAACTATTCCATACCATACCATCCAATTTCATCAACATAACACACGCAAACGTACATGAAAGCTAGCGATACTGAGTTCGGCATACTGTT